ACAAAAGAGGAAATGAGCTGAACTTTTACATTTTTTTTTCCTTATGAAAATGTTTAAACTTTAGGGCCAGGGATTTAGCTCAGTGGTACTGCCACCTGCCTCACAAGTACAAGGACCTGAGTTTGATCCCTGATACAAAAAAAAATAAATAAATAAACTTTTTATCATTAAAGTCAGTGGAGATTCATACGGAGTTGCAGCAGAGAGGTCCTGAGAACCCCAACCCCACCGCAGCTTCTCCAAGAGCTACATCCTCCAACACCATGGCTCAGTACATCAGTGCTGGTGCTGTGTGTGCACAGGTTTCTGACTGGGCTACCACAGCCAGGACACAGGAGCACTGTGTTCCCCAGACTTCTCTCACGAGGCCCAGGCTCAGCCACACCCACCCTTGTTCCTGGGGAATGCCCAACTCTGTTCCATCTCTACAAATTTGTCATTTTGAGAATTTATTAACAGGACAGAGAAGATACACTGTACGATTTCCATTCTGGCCCACCATATGGTCTACTGTGGCACATGTTCTGTGGGTGCTGGCAAAGGAGCTACACTCTGCTATTGGGGGTGGTGTGGTGAGGTCCCAGTCTTGACTGATGGTGGGGCAGAGCCCCGCTGGCTTCTAGGGAGTTGTTCTACCAACCCTAGAGGCAAGGGTGAGGAGGCCCCCAAAGGTAACTGTGGGTCTGTCTCTTTCTCCTGAAGTTCTGTAGGTTGGTGGTTTTCTTATGTTGCAGCTCTGTGGCTTGGTGCATGCATGCACGGGAGTGCTGCCTTTTTAGCGCAATTACCCTTCTTCCTTCCTGATAACTGCTACAACTGTGAAGTGTTATTTGACATTACTGTGACCATTCCTACTCTGTTTGATTAACATTTGTATTGTACATCGTTAGTCATCCTTTTACTTTCAACACATGCATGCGCGCGTGTGCGTGAGCGCGCACACACACACACACACACTCAATGTTTCTAAAGTAGAGAAGAGAGAGAAGCTCCTCCAAGGACAGGTGCCTTGGATGGTATTTGGAGTTCACTGAAAGGCACAGTGGGGACTGGCCAGGAAGGGCCCGGACCCAGGCCTGGTACTGTACAAAGAGCTCAGAGCCCTTTACCAGTAATCCATCTAGAATTTGAATTTAATTTGGGAATCAGAAATTTCTGATTTATTTGTTGTACTTTTATAGAAAACAGCTGGTCAGGTATCTCACACATGTCCATCCTTAAGATCTTCCACCTCTCACAGACACATAGTCCACACTGCCAACCAGCTGCTGTGGGGATAGAGACAGGCCAGGCGGGGTCAGCTGGCAAAAAGCAGTGAGCACAGTTACTCTGGATAATCAGAAGCCCCGCTGAGATCCAATGGGCCAGGAGCAACAAGCCTGATCACTGGACATGATGACCAAGGGTTCCAAATCTGAGGACCAAGGATCCAGTCAGAAAAGAGAACACACGACGATTGCTTTCGCACCCAGGGAAAATGAAGAGCACGGTGTGCATATTCCGCTTTCTGTAAAGTATAAATATTTTCTACCTTGTGGTGCCCCGTAGGGGTCCCAGATCATGAACCCACTGGGAAAAAGTAGGGCTCAATTTAATAAATCTCTCCAAGGAGAGAAATGCTCATTCTCTATCATGTGGCAACAGGGCCCGCAATCTCTCTGCTGCCCCTGTCCAGGACACACAGTCACCCGAGCCAGGAACCCCAAAGTAGAGAAGCCAGGTGGGGAAAGGACGGACAGGAGCTGGCATTTCTGGTGCATTCTGAAATGCTACACTGCTGGGCTGCTTCATGTTCCAGTCTGTTTTGTTACATGATGCGTAAGATAGGTCTCCACTCAGGGCTCTAGTCCTATCAGGATCAAAGATCAAAATCGCCAGCAAACACTAATTAGTTAGAGTGGAATTTTTAATTTAATTTATTGGTTGGATCTTTTCAGGGGATCCAGGGTCTTGCTATGCAGTCCAAGCTAGGCTTGAACTCACCACATAGCCAAGGCTCACCTTGAAATCCAGCAATCCTCCTGCCTTAGCTTCTCAAGTGGTGGGATTACAAATGTAAGCCTCAATACCTAAGTCAGAGTGGGATTTTTTTAAAGTCTCAAGAACCATCTGATGGGTGAATGCATGGAAACTCTCAAGTGGAGGCCCCTAGGGTAGAAGGGGAGGTTGCTGTGACAGCACAGGTGCCCAGGCTCCCTCTGATGCTCAAGGAAGGGGTGCAGTGGACTCTGCACATCCCATGTGACTCTGATGTGCAGAGCAGGTACTGACACAGGGAGAGGTGGCTGACCTGGCACAGGCTCCCTATCCCTTGCTATGGGATGCTCAGGATTCACCAGCAAGGACCCTGAACCTCCAGAACCGTGAGCTGCTAAACTTCACTTCATTATAAATGCAGCTAGCCTCAGGCACTTTGTTACAGAAATGCAAAATGGATTTAAACTTTGGATAAAACTGCTACTGCGTCAATTAGGCCTAATGTGAAGATGAGCTTCCATAAACCAAAGAAAATGCACTGGGTAACTTGAGGCAACTGGCTTGACTTCTCATCTCTTCTTCCTCAATTATGTAAAGCCACTGTTGCTTCTGCATAGCCCAAAAGGATGCAGAATCACCACTGACACTTACACTCTGGCTGTCCTTCTAGGCAGCCGCAGGTTTGTGACACCCAGGGCTGGTTTTCCTAGCCATTAAGTCTTGTCACCTAAGCTACCATCTTTCCTCCCCATGGTACTGACATCCCTAACCTCTCTTCAGAAAATGTCTCCTTTGGAAGGACAACACAGCCTTTCAATGTCCTAGTCCCCAGTGGGGACCACAGTCAACTCCCGAGTACAGAAGGAATGAAGCACAGGCTGTGTCTACACAACAACTCTGTGTGAAAAGTGGGGCACCTCCCTCTCCCCAGGGTCCCAACCCACTAAAGAGTCACAGCTGGGAGGGTCCCAGTGGACCTGTTACCCTGCTGGGCACTGGAGAACAGCACCGACCTGTGCTCTGCAGTCACTAGTCTCAGAGCTGGCACCTGCAAGGGCTTGAGAAAAGGTGTCAGAGCTATATTTTATCTGTTTTCATAGCTGCTAAAACACAGTGCTAAAAAGCACTAGAAAAACAGCCCAGAGTGTGGCTGCTGCTTTCAATAAAGATTTACTTCCTGAACAGCAATAGCTCGTGATTTTCTGAAATCTCTCTAAAACACTGAAGTATTTCAGTAATGAAACCAGGATTTTCTGGTTAGATCTCACAGAGTTATGGAATAAAAGTTGTCCTTTGAGACTGTAGGGGGATAGATCCTTTTATAGGTGTGTGTGCATGGTAAGCCCTGCATAGTCCACACACTTCGAATGGTCTGCATCACACACTTTATAGGGAGGTCCAAGGCCACTGGGTCTGTTAACGCCACCGTGATAATGAACTTCCTTAGGAAGCAGTGTCAGAGTCGGCTCCTGACAAGCTACGAATTAATTCTGCTGGGCAGATCTGATGAGCTACAATTTCTCTTGAAATTGTGACCACATTTGCAAAGGACCTAAGCCTGCAGAGGTTTCACTCCAGTGGCTAGCTTTTTAAAACTGGAGTCACCAGGAGTTTGAGAATGTCTCTTCTTTCATAACTCAGTCTCCAAGAACTGGGAAGGGAACACCCCACAGTGTTTATCCCACACAAGGTTCAGAAGATGGGCCAGAGGGCCCTAGACACATGGGACAACATAGAAGTTTATGGGCAGCATCAGGGAGAGTGAGGGGCCAGGAACCGGGCTCCGAAATTATGAGCGTCAGGTTCTCAGCTCCCAACCAGGACTTTCTCCAAAATCACAACACCACCACCACAGGGTGCCACGTTCACTGACTGAGATTGTAAAGGATACCAATGTGGGAACACTGAACACTTAATCCTCCCCTTACAAAATACTATTGGCTAATCCTATGATGTTTGCAGTGCTGCACACCACAAGGACATAACTGAAATGAAGAAAATTCTGAATTAAAAAACAAAGCAAAGCAAATAATGGTCAAGGAGTAAGCACAACCGCCAAATATTTTAGGAGTCATTTAGACCAAGCAAAAGGAAATTCTAATTAATGTTGACATAGTAAATTTGCAAAAATTATTATACCAGAAGATTTCAAAGTCCAAGATCCTAGAGTCAAGAACAGCTCAAAACAATGTTAATAACAGAAGCAAAAATTAGCATATAGGTGCTAATCCTTGTGAAGGTGATGTTGTACCTTGGTCACAGCATTTCTTAGCACTCAGCCAGAGATGGAGCAGCAGAGTAACTGATTCCCCAAACAGTAGCTGAGATCCTAAGTCAAATGTCCCAAACTATTTGGTAAGGCTAAGAAAATATTCTGTGGGCTAAAGCTCAGTGGTAGAGTACTTGCCAAGCACGTTGGAGTCTCTGGGTTCCATCCCGGCAAGAACCAGAAAAAAAAAAGGACTTTGGCCATCTGCTCCACTTTTTTGGCTACCAGTATCTATTTATCCGAGGACATGGATCCCGGAACCCACATGGTCTATCACGGTTATGTCTGCACTGTAACACTCACAAGCAAACTTCCCACACGAATGGGCAGAACCTTCCTGAGACACCTTTGTTGTTTGCATGTTTTCTGACATAGAATCATCATCTCAGCATTAAAGCTGGAATCAACTCTCCACTAGACCTACCACTGTTCACAGTTATTTGTTTGCCCTGTCCTGATACGGTGTAAGAGGAGGCCACTCAGAACATGTATGGGAACCACTGGGCGAGCACAGCCTGGCCTGTGGGTGCCTTCCATCCTCCTGTAGGCCTGCTGTCTACCTACTTGACACCTCACCTGCTACCGCTCCTGCCGGATAAAACAACTTCTGAACCAGGTTCCTTGAAAGCATAAATTTAGTCAAAGCCACCATCACTGTCACATTATTGGTCTAAAACCTACAGTGCAAATGAAGCACTCGAAGCAAAAGAAGCAACCTGTTCCATCTGTTTTACACAGAAAGCTGCAGACCTACCTTTGGCACACAGTTACAAGAGGCGAACAGCAAAGTGTGGAATTCTTGAATGGTGACCTTTTCAGCCGATGCCGCTGAAGTTACAGAGTTGCAGGGATTCTCCAAACTCACAAATCCAGCTCAGATCTCAGGGAGAACCATGGTCTGCAGTGTCATGTGTGATCTACAAGGAAACAGATGTGTGTATTAGGTGTGTTTGCTTGTTGGATTCTAATTAACCACCTGCACTGACTTGCTCAAACAAACACTTCACAAAGAGGAACCATGTTTCTTCTTGGGCTAAAAGCATTCCTGGCCCAAGAAGCTGAGAATAATGCACAAAACTGCAAGGGAGAGGAGAGGGAGAAGAGAGGAGCCTATGGAAGGGGGCTGTGGCCACTGTCTCTGGCTGTGTTTTCCTTGGTGCCACACACTTGGGCAGATGTTTCAGTCCTTGAACAACATCTCAAGGGGTCCCTTGGAGACCTATGCAGACTCCTGAGTGAGATGGCTGGGATTTTTAATTACATTTCAGACCTGGAGGGGATCCACTTGACAGTTCACTCAGACATCTACTAATTCATCCCTGGCATGATTATGACCCAAAATGTTAAATGCCCCACAGAAAAATCGAATTCTATTTTCGTCAAATAGAAAAAGATAATCCAACAAGGGCTATCATAAAAATGTTATAAGGCAAGTTAATAAATTGTGATTTAAAAATTAATCCCTCTTTAGGCCTTCTCTACCAATATCTTAAAAGCTGCTTGATTTTTTTTAAACATATATATGATTTAATTTAAGGAAGAAGTGATAACCAAACACAATGATTAAATGTAAACGAGGGAGAACATCCCCTTCTCTCTGCTTAGTGTCCCCAGTAACAGGCTGGCCCTTGAGAGCAGAGACACAGAAGCCTAGACTCAGGCCGACATTAACGACCTTCTATCCTGAGCCCCTCACTGAGGAAAGCCACCAGCACACGGCCATGCACTGTGTAGTCCCGTCCTCAAACACTTCTGCATTTGTATTTCCAGGGGCTGTTATAGAACTAAGTGGCATTTTTAAGATTTTGGATGGAGTTGGGCTTCCTGACATCTAGGCCAGGGAGAAGCTGTGTGGCTGTTTGAGTTCTCCGCACACATAGCTCTTTCTGCCTGTACAATGCACAGAGGAGTGAGATCAGCTAAGCTTGCCAATGACCTTCGAGGATACACAATAATACTCACATTTACAGGTTTGCTTTTCTTTTGTAGTACTCAAGATCGATCCAGGGGGGTATTCTACTACTGAGCTACATCCCCAGCCCTTTTTATTTTTAGTTTGAAAACAGGGCCTAGCTAAGTTGCCCAGGCAGGATTTGAACTTGAGATCCTCCTGCCTCAGCTTCCCTCGATGTTAAAATTACAAACATTTGCCATGTTGAACCTGGCTATAGTGTTAACTTTTCCAGGGACTTTGTTAATGAGTTTTCTACCACTGTGACACAATGCCTGAGATTTTGGCTCAGGGTTTCAGAGTGTTGGTCCATGGTCAGCTAGTCTGTGACAAGATAGAACATCAAGGCAGCAGCATAGAGAGGAGCAAGGTACCCAGTAAAAGGGAAGCAAAAGGAGATAGAAAGGGGCTGGGGTTCCCATGTCCCCTCCCAGGGCATGCCATCAGTGATGTCACTTCCTCCCACTATGCACACCCATATGACTTCACTTCCTCCCATTAGGCATGTCCCCAGTGACCTCACTTGGTCCTGGCTGGCCCTACCTCTTAAGGTTCACCACTTCCCAGCAGCACCACAGACTGGTGACCAAACCTTCTGCACAAGGCCCTTCGGGGACATTTAAGATCCAAAACATAACAGCAAGGTTCAAAGTTTTCTGAAATAAGCTTCAGAGTTTGGGTCTTTAAAACTCTATGCCCAACAGGTTTTTCACACCCTGTTCCTTTGAAGGTAAATGTAGAAGAAATGTTCAGGCATCAACAGGAAAGTAGGTCAACAATTACCCACCAGCCCCAAGCAAAAAACAGCAAACTGGGTGGGAATACGGTCCTGATACTCAGACTAGTCATGGCATGGTACCTGTGAATACATCTGGAGCAGAACTTGAGCCGAGCAACTTCTGCAGAAGAGAAACCATGTAAAATGCACACCATGGTGCCAGGGGCCACCTAGGCTCAAGAATGAGAAAGGACAGCTACAGTGTTTTCCTTGAGAAAAGCATTGCACTGGCACACACCTGACATGGAAAGATACGTGTCAAAGCTCTCTCTGTGGGTTTAAAAGCAGGCCACTGCTGGATTGAATATGGGCTATAGGCTTATTCAAAGCTCCTGTACAAATCAGGTCCCAATTACAAACCGTGATCTCAACCCTTCGGGAGAGTACTTTATGCAACATAAACAAGATCATATACAAGGTCACTTGCAGGCTGAAGGCCCTCGCTCAAGAACTGACTCAAGGATTTTCTGCACAGTGGCTTCAGCAGATGGAATACACGAAAGGGTGGGTGTGCTTCTCTGAACACACTTCTGTACTAGCTCCATGTGCTTCTCCCTCGAGGTAAAAAAGAAAGAAGGATCGACTACCATGTATATCACTTTCTTCACCTTAATTTGAGCCCTTAATGATACAAAATTACCCCTGAAAAAGCCAAGGGACTCTCTCCACCTCTGTAACACTGTGATTTCCCTCTTCTCAGTCAGACTATGGTCTGGGGCTTCCCAGTCTCATCTCAGGAGTGGACATCAACTCCGAGAGCAGGCTCCATGCTGCAGGCCTCAGCCCCACAGCTGCACACCCCACAGCTGACACACCCTGTCCCCGTGCAGAGCTGGGCATTACAAAGCCCCGTGCTGTCCCAGTCAGCCTAGCTGCCCAGGAACTTATGTCATGCCTTCTGGGAGGTCCCGTGCTGCCCGGTGCTGCCCGGTGCTGCCCGAGTCTGACACAGGTGTCCAATTCAGACATCCATAATAACACCCTTCACTCCACCACAGCCGCAGGGTTAATAAGAGGGCCCGTGTGCCTTGATCAATTGCCAGCCAAGGATGTGTGCCCCGTGGGCATGATACTGCTTAACACCATGACTCTGCCCACTTCAGAACTGGCCCATCCATCTAGACAGCTGAAATGACTCTACATAGAGCCATGTATCCACTCTGCTGCCGGACACCGGTGATACCAGAGAGGTCAGCGTGCTCAAAGAGATGCTCACTGCGGCTGCCCCTCGAGCTTCCTAGCAATGCTCGGAGACAACTGTCCCCCTCCCACTCTGGGTGTCCCACGCAGAACAGGAACCTGTGCCGGTGCAACTGCAGAGCCAGCAGGCTCTTTCTCCTTGCAAAGACCGCCAGTAAAGGGAAAGAGCTGGCAAATAGCATCTGTTGCTGCCATCTGTCTGGAGTACCTGCCACCACAGAAAGCGTCAACCTCTCAAATCAAGCAGGGATCCTGACAGGCTGTTCAGAAAAGCCCTGGAACAAGGAACACACAGCCTGTATTGTCAAAGTGCTCTTTGTCTCGGATGCCAGTGCACCAGAGACTCGGCTGGTAACACTTTCTGGCTGAGTCAAGTGGTTCCCCTGCCTGGAGACCTGAGTGGGTACCAAATCCAAGCTGGACCAGGGGTGAGCAGCCCTGAGCCAAAATGACTGGGACTAGAAGTATCCCAGATTTCAGAGTTTTTCAGATTTTGAAATACATGCATGTAGACTTTACCAGCTTTCAATTCCTGATCCTAAAATTTGAAATGTTCCAAAATCTGAAACTTTCAGAGCATCAGCTTCAAAGTATTTTGGATTTCAGAGCACTCCAGGTTTCAGATGAGCGATGTTCAACCTGAATATGTAAAACATGTCCAGAGAAGGAACACTGGAAGGCAGAAATCACTATTCATGAGAGCAGCACCATCAGAGCCTTAAATCTGACCTCTGCCCTGTGATGTCCCTGTGGACACTCAAGTTAGACCCCTAGTCAGTGAAGCTAAAGTCACCACCTTTTCTCCTTTATTTAAAAGGGGAAAAAGGGATATGCTTACTACAGGACTCTAGTGTTCAATGCTTTCTCTCACCCCTCCATTCCTTCCCCACTCAACACCCATCCACAGGTTGGACAGGTGTGGCAATGGCCTGTAAGTGGCTCTGCAGCTCAGCAGGAATCCAGGGGTGTCAGGGTCTGCACAGGACAGCACAGGACCAGGGCCATCGGGGTTTCCAGCCCAGAGGTACTCTGGCCCAGCTCTGAGCCACATGGAGGGAGGCTCCATGCAAGTGGAAGGAAGACCTGGGTTCCAGACACCGAACCAAGTGACCCAGGTCCTAGAGTGCCTTGCTCAAGACCAGTCCTGGTGTCTTCTTTGTCTCAAGTGTGAGCCCACATGGACAGATAGACACCAGTCTGTGCCATGCTAAATCCCACACACGGAAGTGCTACCTCCAGCACTTGGGACAGGAGCTTGAGTGTCTAGGTTAGGTGGGGCCCCAAGCCAGGCAGAAGCAGAGACAACAGGAGCACACACACAGAGGAGGCCCCAGCAGAAGCAACCTCGATATCACCTCCACCCAAAGCCTCCCACCTCCAAATTATGGGTGGATGAAAGTGCACTGTGTGAGACGCTTTCATGAAACTGAATGCCATGGCTAAGTCTCCTGATACAAGACATGCACAACAGGAACTTTAAAGTCTGTCCTGAGCATGTGTAAGAATGAGTAAAGTCAGGGACTCTGATATCGCAATCCCCACAGCCATATCAGGTGCCTCCCAGCTACCTCCTCCTGCACTGGAGAAGGGACACTTGATCGGTTTCAACCCCATTCACCCTCCAAAGCCAGTGTGAGCACAGCCCCCACCCCCAGCTCCGCCTCGACCTCTCCTCCCTGTCTGGCCACCCCACCCAGGGCAGAGCCCTGGGGAGCACCCACCACCTTGATATGATAAGTGTGACACTGTCTACTCTTTAATGTTGACTTTGACTACATGCACAAGGGGACATAATGCAGATGGCACCCACATGCGGCAATCCAATTGCAACAGTTAGGGGTACACGTGCCCCAGCCCTCACCAGGAGGCTTAACACAAACCACAGACCTAGTCTGCCCTGAATACTCCGCGCCGGGCCCCAGCGATGAGAATGAGGCTCTCATCACATCCAGGATCATTATTAATTCCTCAGGGTAAACCTTGTACCT